ACCTCGAAAACTCGACCTAATGTGGACCGAAGGGTGGCCGAGTTTGTGAAAATGCCGAGTTATCGGGAATGGGGTTAAAAAAAATAAGTACGAGTATTTCCTCAGAAAATACTGTACTGTACTTGTACAGTATTTACTTGTACAGAATATAACAGAGAATAAACTGCCCAAATACCCTTAAACAAAGGAAAAGTACGTCCTTTATGAAGGCATAGAGCCACTACATGAAAATGAAAATTAATGAATACACTGTGTACAGTAATTTACCTGATAAGACAGACCTCAGAAAAATACTTTATGAGAGCTTTTATACTTTTATAAAGCTGTCTATAATGAAAATTAATTAACTAAGGATTTTTTCGCCCTGCCAAGGTGTGGACCAGTTATCCGGAGTGCTAAGTTATCGAGGGACGAGTTTTCGAGGTTCTACTGTATTTGAATTAATTGTGAATAATATGTAGTCTTTTAAATCAAATACATATAGTTTATAGAAATCAGTTTGCTAAATATATTCCAATTTTCATCATAGAAACTGTATTAAACTGTTGTGGAATTTTGGCAAAATTAACACTATGAATAAGGAAATCTGTATTAGAAATATGTAATTGAGATTATTTAACAATTGTAAAGTCAGTAAAGTAGCCCAAGAAATTTTTTTCACTGAAACTGTAATTATATTATTATTACTATTTTTAAATAACAGCATTGCAAACTAAGTATTATAATAGACAGTGAGCTATTAGGATATAATATAGAAAAATTACACTGAAAGTTATAATGATAATATGAAACTTAAAAGTATATACAGGGTGTTCGGAAATTCCTGTTACAAACTTCTAGGACTTGTAGAGGGAAGCGAATAGATAATATTTTGATTAGGAACCCATCCAGATACGTACAATTTCTGTTCTATGACTGTTTCAATTCAGATGTTTAACTCTTCCACTTCTGCTTGAAGAATTTGAATTAGCCATGATGCAGTGCAATTATTAGGTAACTATTCGAAAGGAAACATAATGAAACATCCATTTATCACTTAAGCACATTTGTTTTTATTAAAACTTAAACTTTACATGTTTACATTATTCCAAAACAAAAAAGAACCCAGCGTACTGTATATACAGAACAGTACTGATATATTACAACAGCAGCTCGATGCGGCGACCATCAACATTCTTACAGATATTGTACCTACGAAGCATGTTCTGGTACACACTCTCCATCCCACCTGGTGTCTCTTCAATTTCTAGTGCAGCAGCCATAACTCATGCCAACAGATCTTCCTCTGTTTCTACAGCAGTCTTGTAAATTAAACTTTCCATACGACCCCACAAGAAGTAGTCCGTAGGCGTTAAATCCAGTAATCATGGCAGCCACACAGTTGGACTACCTCAGCCTATCCATCTTTCACCACATTGTCTGTTGAGATGTCTTCGAACCACACGTGAAAAGTGAGGTGGTGCACCATCATGCTGAAACCTCATTTCTTGATGGACATTCAGTGGCACAGCTTCCAAGAATGGGTCAAATACGTTTTATAGGAAGATCAAGTATGCAGGACCAGTTAGCTTGAGTGTAAAGAGGTATGGCCCAATCACATGACTGTCCAGAATACCTCCCACACGTTAATACCAAACTGGTGCTGAAATCCATGAACATATGTGGCATGAGGGTTTTCGTCTGACCAGACATGGCTGTTTCACAAATTAAGAACACAGCCCCTAGTGAACTTACATTCATCTGTGAACAGAACTTGATGTGAAAAGAGGGGTGTGTCAATGCAGTGGTGCAGGAACCACGTGCAGTATGCAATGCGTTGTGGAAAATAGGCTGGACCCATAGCCTGTACCCTTTGTAAGTGGTACGGACGTAATTGTTGCTCATGCAGAATGCCCCAGACGATACTGTGACTAACACCCATTGTACACACAATTGTTCAAGTACTCATTGATGGGTTCTCTTCAACATGATGCAGTATATCTTCAAATTCAGGAGTGCGGCTTTGCCATGGAGCACTACAGTCCTGCCTCCTCACATTGAAGGTATCTGTTTCTCGGAGCTGCTGCGTAACTTGGGCAAAAAGTTTGTGTGATGGCATGCTACGTTGCAGAAAATGTTCATGATACAGCCGACTAGCAGCTCTTTCGTTACCTCAAGCTTAGCCATACACAAGGAGCATGTCTGTGTATTCTGAAAACGTGTACTGAACCGTGTTTACTGTATTGGAGACGCACAGACAGTCTCGCAGCAAGGCAGATGTTAACTGACATCAGGTGACCGTCTGACGTAGTACACGTCATCCTGTCTACCCTATTGCATACCAGGACAAGCAACTCTGAGACTTTTCTCTTTCCCTCAGCAGAAGTGGAAGAGTTAAACATCTGAGACTTTGAATTGAAACTGTCATAGAATGGAAATAGTATGTTTCTGGACATGGGTTCTTAATCAAAATATTATGTACTCACTCCCCTCTACAAGTCCTAGAAGTTTGTAACCAGAATTTCTGAACACCCTGTATATGTTTGTGTGTTTTGTTCATCTAAATATATTTTCTATATGCAAAATGCCATATGGATTGTTTGCTAGTCAATTAGCAAATGCCAACAGATTTTTATTAATTTACTAGTGCAATTCCTCATCAAGCATGATAGACTATTTTCTATGAGAAAGTAGAAAATTAATAATAGAATGTTACATAGTCAATAAGGATAAAATTTCTTGTATAAGCAACATGATTGCAATGACTGCAACATTAGTACTGTTACTGAGATGAGTTAAAAATAAAAATTCTGGATTATCATCTATTATTTATGTAATGCAGTAATCTGACATACTAGTATTCTGCAAATTGGAATTTGTTTGGGTACATATTGCACTAAGTCACCAGGTTTTCACCTGTTATCTTCACAAATTATCTTACCTGTTATGTTCACAAATTAATGCAAAGATAAACTATATTATTCCAAACAAACATTGCTTTGTTAGAGCTAACACATGTGACTTATGTATTTTCTTTTCCACAGATGAAAGAGCAGCACACTTAAAAGTTTTTCATACTTAGATCATGAACTGTATACATACAATTCATAAAAGCTACACATATCTGGAAAACAAATATTATATGCACATGAATTATTGTGAATGTGGTTTTTGTACAATAATGTGTTCATTAATGAATTTCCAAATTTTTTAGAAATTGTAACAGCTTTAGTGAGGATGAGATAGGGGTTTCTCAGTAAGTTATGAACATTTTTAATATTCTGTTTGTTAAAATATATTGAGAAACAAGTCTAATACACAACCACACACAACACTGTGGTATACTCAACAATGCACCCAATGTGTTTTTTCTATGCACACCAGTCATTGGTTTGTTGGGTGTGTTGTCAAGTCTAATACTTTAGTACTAATTTATTGATGTATTCATTACTAAACCAGATAGTTAATGAGTAATGAATAGAAAGTAACATGTACTGATATGTATATCTGTTAATTAATGTATATTTGCTTGAAATTTTTGAGTATATATAATTTGTAACTTCATTTTGATTGATAGTTATTGAAATATTTATTGATTTTATATCAAATAGGTGATTAAAACAGATTTTCAAATAAAAAACTTGGAAATACAAATATATTTGCTTAAAAGATGAAAGCCAAAATTGAAGAAAATTTGTTAATCACTCAAAACAAACTATTCCATATTTTCATGATAAAAGTTAAATTTAATATGCAAATCTGCATATTGCAGTACTGTACTTCCAAAAGCATTTTCTGGTCAATATTTTGCAAAATACAGATTTTTAAATAATACTTTAAATCAGTTGATTGTAAATAAGTCTTCAAAGAAGTTTTGTTATCCTAAAATTAACCAAGATAATATCTAGCAAATTACATTATTCTTCAACTCTATTAATATTTAAAATTATATTACCTTTATTTTTCCTGGCTTTCTAGCAGCAGCTTTTAATGATCCATAACGAAAATGTTTCTCTACTCTAAATAAATATATCCAGCATTCAGGAATGGGAAACCTAATTTGAATATCTTCACAAGGAATCTGTCCATGTTTTCTACCATGATAACCAGGAACAAGTACATCTGTACGTAATTCAATTCTTGCTTTTGTCACTAACATGACTGCTTTTACCTAAAATGAAAATTTTATATGAATTTAAATACTTCAATAGCATGTTATATAAAAAATTTAATATTTTTTCAAATAATATAATGACACTAAAGTTCTAATAAAGCATAGTATTAATCATAAAATTGATATCCATAATTCAAATTCTATTATTATGCTTTTCAGTATCAAGTACTGTAATTAAATTATATCATAATTGAGTTTTCTTGTAATCAAGATTATTTTTTAATATTATTCTCTAATAATAAACTATAACATTGTGTAGGGAATGGTCACTAAATGTATTTATTGTAAACTTGTGTTCAATTTGGTGTATTAATATTAGTTATATAATTAGTTTTGTATTGTAAATTGAGAAACGGGAATGATTTCCATTTCGTATAAAAAAAACCACCCTCGAGAGGTTTTGTATGTCACGTACCACCATTTGATGGGTGAGGCTTGTAATTGGTTATTCGCTATTCAACAAAGTCACGTGTAGTTAAATTCCCAGATGGTGGGAGCTTTTAAATAGTGTGTATCATGCCTGGTCAGACAATTTTCCTTGGGATATTTGTTGGAATCAACGATCGAAATTATTGTCTAATGTTATACGACATCTTTATGTACTGTACAGCGCATTGTGTTGTGATGTTTTGTTAATGTTCTTCCATTATGTAATAAAAGGTTAGTGGCACTGTTGACCCCTCGGGGAGTCATTAGAGACGATGACCTTGTTTCACTCTCCCCTTTCCAGCACTGACCTTCTGTGAGTCAATATTGTGTATTGTGTGTATTCTTTGTTATATAACCAGTTATGTGAGTCTAACTTGCTTTTACTAATCTCTCCGACAAGCAATATCTAGTCTAACAATATTCACCTGGACTGGACTCATAAGGACTGATTGAGTGAAAGAGAGAAGGTAAGGGTTATTCGCTCATAGCACGGAAGGCAAGCAGTGGACCAGTAAGGTCGAGCAGAAGGAATCCATCTCCATCGATGTAAGGACACTGCATATGCCCTATACAACAGGGGCACCACTTGGTAGAGAAGATATTTTTCCAACCATTATAGTTATTTTGTTTATGGAAACCCTTTCAACACGTGTTGATATACCTTGTTAGTGTTGTGAACCATCGTGAGATTGTGAATGTGTGAACGTGTTACACACACAGGAACATTGTCTGTAAATATCTTTGTATCCAATTAGGTTAAGTTTGTGTTTTTCCTTGTCTCCTCATATAATTTTTTTATATGTTTTTTGTTATTCTAACAAAATTCGTAATTTTTGTGTCATCACCTTGTTAAGTCCTCACTATTCCTACGCGATAAAAATGTCTAGATCGTTTCAACCATCCAAGACACTACAATTGTAATTTAAACAAATTCTGCAGATATTACAATTTAAATAGCTTATAAACTAATTATAGTTTTATTAATATAAATCTGAATGAATAGAAAAATTAATTACATGAAAAATGTAGTGTGCTATTACTATTTTTCAGTTTAGACTTAAAGTGAAATTATACCACAATGTTCATTATTCAATTTAAATAAAGAATGAAAAATGAACATTTTAATTTTTTATTTCCAAAATTTTAATCATCTGAAATATTAAATAAATCCTATGTAAATTTTGTTATAAATTTTTTATATTTACTTGATAATACGATTATTTTCAAATTCTTCTTGAAGAACACAGGAATGAAATTCACAGTTTTCTAGTCGTATCCACTCTTCTGTAACTACAGGAATTATATCATATCGTCCTACAACTTCTTTACCTTGTCTTGTAAGATCATTTAAACCTATTTCAACATCAGGCATACCTAGAAAAAAATTCGATTAAATAAGAATGAATAATGTTTAAAAAATTTTGAACAAAAATTACTATGGGGCTGTCCATAAATGACATCCACACTGGATAGGAGGGAGCGGGTTAAGACAAGTTGGACAAAGTCAGACAAGGGGAATTGAGCTTCAGTAGATGTTCATTTAATGTATTTTATTATATTTATTTCAAAATTTCTTGTATGTTTCATTTCTATCTATATTACCTATGATTCATAAAGTGATAAAAGTTTTAAGGGAGTTGAGTTTTGTTAGACATTTAAAGAGGGGAGAGGTTACAGAAACTTGGACAAACTGAGACAAGAGAGGGGGGAGTAAAATTTCAAAAAACAAAAAAATGCAGATGTAATTTATGGACAGCCCCTATCCAGAATAAGAAGCTTTTACACATATCAAAAAGTCGGTATTTAAAATTTCTATTAGGGTTTATACAAAAACCGACTTTTTAAAAAACCAGTTTTCAAATCTCAACTTTTCTATGAAACTGGTTTTAACCAGTTTTCGAATTTTCGCTCCCCCAAAAAATGGAAATAAGGAATGTTTACAACTTATTTTAAAACTTTATAATTTATTTAATAATTATAAAATTTCAAAAGTATAACAAAATAAAATTGNTGACTAAACACTATGGTGGATTTTGATCACATGCAAGTAATAGTCAATATTAATCTTGTTATTATCTCTCTCTATCTATATGTATATATATATATCAGGCTCTCTATTGTGAAGGTGAAGCAAAATAGTTCTAGTCCTGCAGCATCATAGTTGATGTATTGTGAGTGCAATAATACCTTGGAACAGAAATTTAATGTTAAGACACCAAGTGACAAGATGATTGTGAAGTGGTACAATGAATTCTGGAGAGGAAGTTCATTTTTGATCACAGGAAAGGACATTCAGGATGATGGCCTGTCAATACCAAAACTGTACTGTACATGTGCAAGAGTCATTTATTCATAGCCCTAAGAAGTCTGTATGCAGAACTAGTTGGGAATTATAGGTACCAAGTCTAAGATCTTATATACTCATCAAGGGCTTTGCCCTTACAAAATGCAATTGGTACATAAATTACACCAAGATAACCCTCAAAAAAGACTTCCTTTCTGTGAACATTTACAGACATTGATGGAGGATGAGAAAGACCTGTTGTCAAGAATCATTTCCACTGACATGGAAGGTTGCTTCACCACTACAAAAATAAACAAGCACAATGTAAGGATTTGGGGTAGCAAGAACCCACATGTTGTTATGGAGGTTAAATGCAATTTTCTAAAAGTCAACATTTTTTTGTTTCAAATTGAAGAAGAATTATATGGACTGTTTTTTTTTTGGGAGGGCACTGTTACTTGTTCCAATTATTTAGATATTCTGATTCTGTGGCTTTTTCCACAATTGGATGAGTGTGAGGTCGCTGATCTGCGCAAAAAGAACCAGGATGATGAAATAGTTCTGTATCATATGTGTGTGAGGATTAGGCAGAGACAAACTTCACAGTTACACAGTTATAGTCCCAATTTATTACTACAAGGATGCTTACAAGTACACAGAGCTTCCATTGGCAGGTGAAGTCGTGAATCCTTTCCTCTTAGTGAAGGTAAAAGTTCTGCCAGTGCAAATTTCCTGAGTTCCTTTTGGAGGTTGGCTGTCCCGGGGTATTGTTGAGAGATAATTCGTGCCGAGAGACAACAGTGAAGTTGAGATAGAGTTTGGGATATAGAATGTCTTTTCACCAGAGTAGAAAACGCATGATCAACATACAAGTGGAGAAGTTCTCTGTGCCCTTAGAGCTGGTTTTTATAAGTTTTTGGATCCCACATCTACCATATCAATTGGTTATTTCCCTCACCCACACCATTTAATTGGTCGTCACTTATTACCACGTGTAATAAGATTGGAACCTGGACCTTGGGATGGGTTAAAATTGACAATCAATGCAACCTTAAGTGAGGATAGTTGATCTTAAGACTTAAATAATTCATTTTTCTGTTGTTTTAAATACAAGAACTATGTTCCACTTTTTTCTCATTAGACCAAACATTTCCTTATATGGATGCAAAATTTCCATGTCTTTATATCAACAACTTTTAATAATCATTTTATAAAATTCCTTTTATAATTTCACATAGTTTTGGGTCTTCACATGAGGAGGGCAATGAATTCTTCTGTCATTAAGATGAAGCACCATCATACCAGCATCTCTGTGTTCAACAATATTTGAATGCACAACTGCCAAAAAAATGGATTGGATGTGCCAGAGCTGACAACATCTGCATGTGGTCATCCAGGTCACCCAATCTTAGTCTGCAACTTCTGATAGCTTCATGTCAAAGATAGATGGCAACAATTGTGACAACATCATTGCTGCCATCAAATCCATTCTGATGAATATGCTTGAGCATGTGTAGTGCAAGTTGGAATATAACCTTAATGTTTGCCACAAGGCATATGGTACATATCTCAAGTATATGTAAGGTAAGCACAAAAAGTTACCATATTTTGCAGATTGACAGACATGCCTCATGTAACCAGAGGAGATCAGCATGCTGGTTAAACTGCGACTAAAAAATAAAATTAATTAGATCAGAAATGTTAAAGAAAACATTCTTCCGAGTACAATAAAATAATAACATTGCAGTGGTGTGGCATGCCATCCATGGAAGCTGTGGAAGCACTGCTTCCATTGTATTTTCTAAAATATAAATACATATTGTGCAATTATTTTTATATTTTAACATACTTTGAATTAATTAAAATTATTATTTTATAACTGCATTATGTATCTTATCACAAATTTCTATACTACACATGAAAAACAATGATAAGATTGCTATTGTATATTTGAATATAAATTTGTATATGCATATTCCCAATCGAAGCATGGTATTGTTAAATATGGGATAGCTTCCACAGCAAAAATATCTGAATGGTGTAAAGCAGCCAGATTACAGATATTCACACATGAGCTTTACAGAGCACCAACCTCATGCGGTTTAGCTTGTGGATGCTACACACCAAAATATCATATAAAGTTTCCAATGATTCTATCCAGGGCTGGCACAGCTTCCCTACCATCAAATGTCACCACACACCACTGTAACATTGTAATTTGACCAACTTAAACTAGAAAGAGAGTTTTCATTTACAGGATAATAAAACGAGTAATTATTTACTGTGGCATCATCACAATGCCAGGCTGCAATTTTTCACAATGCACTTCGTCTCAAATTATTAGTGGCTTGTAGCTGTACATCATACTTTTCCTTTAACAATAGAGTTGTGCCAATCTTCTATCTAACACCTTTCAGGGGAAAATATTTGAATTGAAACATGACTTCTGGTTTGTGTCAGAAGTTCCTATATAGTTAATCGGGGCCTCATGCCCATAAGGTTTTCATATCTGGTTTTGTCTTTCATTTATCTAACTTTGTTCTTGAAATTAAGGAAAGGCAGGCGGATGGACGGATGACAGTGGAAATTTATGTCTACAATTTTTTCAAATTACAGCCCAATTAGAGGCTTATTGACGGTAGTAGTAGTAGTAGTAGTAGTAGTTAATGTGGCTGTATGAAAGTAATAAAGTTTTACTGGTACTACCCTGACCTTGAAAGGTCATACCTTCCTCTCAAATTTCACACAAAGTAGATGTAAATTATCTCAACTTACACCATTAACAGCAAGTTTCTGAAGTTTGATATGTTTATTTTTACAGTTTTGGATCAAATTACAATAAGATAAGCATTAAAAAAAAGCATTTTTGAAATTCCACAAGTATTTTATATTGTTAGAAAAAAGACTAAATGCAGAAATTAAACATATAATTGCAATTTTTGATGCCATTTGATGTAACTTGTTTTATTTTTTTATGCACCCTCTGGAGAGAGATGTATAACCTCATGTAAACTGGCATGCCAGTTTTTACCATACAGAAATATCTTATTTCATGGATAGATTGACATGCTGGATAATCTGGAAAAATACAGTATGAGTTTTGCTTTCTAGTGACAGCAATGTCATGTATACATGACCATAGACAGTGACTTCATGCCTGTTTAAAATCACAGAGAATATTTGTGGAAACACTATATAATGCAGTCTGAAAATATTTTTATTTAATTCAAGATTAATTCAAATTAATTCAAGATTTAAAATTTTTGTCTTTTTCATATTAACATTTATACATCATGGGGTATTCTTCATCTCTGCTCTGACCCAGTAACTAGTTCTTGCCACATGAAACAGTGGAGCCTGTACAGTACATTGGGACACTTAGGGCATATGCCTCCTTAATTGTCTGGGTTGCCCTTTTCCTAATTCCCAAAGAAGTCCTAAATTCTATTATTAACAAACAACAGAAAATCACAACTTCTAGCCTATTCTGCAAATATAAATGATAGAAAAACCAATGAATGATATTTGTCCATAGTCCCATGTAACTTTGTGGTATGTTGACCAAAACTTGGCCTAGAAAGCAAGGAATATTCCTTTTCAAGGCCAAGTTAGTTCTGATTGCAACCAGTGCTCCTTGTGGGATCACTGATCTGATATTAATCATAGTTTAAAGCTTCTTGCATAATGTATGATGCCTCTTTTTTATAGTCTGTTGCACCACTGAGTGCAATATAGGAGGACCTGTGGCAGGCAACTGTTCTAATAGAATAATTTTTATTCTGTATATTGTTTTGATTAAAAAAATGAATTTTAATCATGTATAATATAATAGTATTTTATTATATAGTAATTCATATAATTACTATGTAATAAAAATTGAGAGACTATTTTGTAATTTTATTTTTATTTGGGGATGATGTAGTTTCACAGTGCTTATCATGAACTGCTACTGCTCTTGAACAGAGTAAGATGAAAACTTTACATATGTTTGAATCTAACTTTCAGTGAAAAGTTCTCACTTGCTATTATTACTCATTAAATATACTTCTGTATGTTAATATCGTTACTCGTAATATGACAAAAATAAAAATAATTTTTAAAAAATTATACAGAATACATGTATATTTCTGAATGAGAGATTGACTTTAATCACGGAGTACTAATGTATAATCTCTGCTTAAAGCTAAATCGAAATATTAAAATCATATACAATCGACCCCCCCTATAATGTAGGTTCATGTAATGTGGATTTGTATATTGCAGAGAAAAAATTGCAACCATATTTGTATAAAGACGCTAAAAGAGACTCGTAAAATGCGGTAAAACATCATCACCAACTTGTGTCGCAACAGGATTGGTTGAATCTGGACCAATAGTGGACGAGCAGCCGAACTACTTACACGCTATTAAGAGTTTAGGTGGGTAAGTTGAGTTTACTATCGTCTATACAATATATAAATTAGGTACTGTAAGTCTAATACAGTACTGTAATTTTATACATTTCTTGTGAAAAAAACATTTCTTATTCAACGGTCATAAAAATTATTTCTATTAATGATGTCTCCAAAGTTCAGCGAATTTTTCACAGAGAAATAACTTATCAGAAAATGCGCCCGCCATACGATGCGCTGCTCCATGACAAAAACAAGCTTAAGCAATGGCATCATCAAACGGTGCACACTCGGTAAGTAATCCTACAATTTTTAGTTTATAGCATAATTTATATGGATTATTCCCAAAAAATTATACGTGTTTTGGAAATGTTGAGTCAAATTAGTCTAGAATCGATTAATTTTATGGAAGAAAACCTTTCAAACAGCCGTAGTCTATAAACTGAACATGTGTAGGGCTTTGATTCGCTCATGTATTTAAGGATTCCTATAACGTGAAATTCTTATAAAGTGGAACATATCTACAGCATTATAGGGGGTCAACTTTACTGTTAGCATAAAACTCTAACTCTGTTTAATAGTGTTTTTTTTGTCTATAATGACATTATGGTTGATACTAAGTTAATTAAATTAATTAAAATATTTACAAACATGAGGCAGATAATAGTCCATTATCACACCAGTGATAATGGGCATAAATGCTCAGAAATCAAAGTAAAAACATTTAATTAAAACAAAAAAGGGTGTACAGTAAAAAATAACTAATATGTAGATATTTTAATTTAATTATACCAAGGGCTAAAAGCAACTTTTGTAATAATTTTGCTAATAATAATATAACACATGATTTAATATATCTGTTATCAAATGTAAATTTACAATAAAATAAAATAAATTTTAAAATTATATTATTACAATATGAATATATAATGTAATTAAATATATATATCATATGTATAAATTTCAATTATAATTACAGTAGAGCATCGATTATCCAACCCCCGATTAACCGTCACTTCGATTAATCGATCGTTCTAGTCGGCAAATTTCAAATGTCCGCTAGTGATGTGGCGCTACAATATCTTGCTACTTTAATATTATTTTTGTTAAATTTTTGCGTGTTTTAGCTGGCAACACTGGCTCGACCATTGAAGGGAGGCCAGTATTTAAACGAGACTTAATTTTCTAATTATGAGTGGTTGTTTGTTTTGTGAGCAATAAAATAATTTAAAAATAATTTTTAACAATACAATAGCGATTGTTATTTTTTAAAAAAATTTGTTAGGCTTAACATCGATGAAAATTCAACGTGAAGTTGGTTAATAGCAATATACTAATATATCAATACTAATTACATGGGATATACTAATATACTATAGTAATAATGTATTTTTTTCATTATTTTCGGTTATCTGATTTTTTCAGTTATCCGACCAACCTGAGTCCCCAATTGAGTTGGATAATCGATGCACTACTGTATTATTTAAATAAAATATTTTAAATATTTAAAAAACTGAAATATATTATAAATTGAATAGTAAATTCTAAACAATAGAATCTTACTTGCAAAGGCAGTTCTCTGTTTTTTGGAGGACGAATACGAAATCTCATCAATTCAAATAAACAAGCATCAGGTGGATGAAATCTAATAAAAACATTTAATTATAATATTGACTAGATTAAACATTTATTTTGTAACTTCAGGAAAGTTGGATAAATTGGATAAATAAATTTATAAATTAATTTTTTTTATCAAACTGTACAACATTCTTATATGAAATTTAATAAACAAGTTTCAAGACAAAATATTGCTTTAATAAATATTAATAAGTTTTTTAGAAAAAAAGATATAACAAAATATCGTATCAAGTCTTGTCATATAGTATACTACAAAGCACAAAACAAATTATTCTCAAAGCTTTTATTTTATTAATAAAATAGATAACAAAAGTGCAGTAATTAAATAACGTAATTAAGTTTACATTATCTTAATGATATCATCATCAGATAATTGGATTAAGAAGAGATATATTTTTTGAAAGAAACTTTTATTTGCACTGCTATCTTTCCCTGCTATTTAGAAGTCCTATAGTAAAAGAATAATACATTCCAATTACCTATTCTTTTTTGAATCATTATAATTTAATTCACATTATGTTTCTAGAAAGTCAATTTGATTTCATTGTTAAATTTCTAAAACTCTAACTTTGTGAATACTGTAATTAAAATAAGTATTAAAATAAATTAGTAAACACTGCACATATAACCAATATCAGCAAGAAGAAGAAACTACAAGAAAGCAAATGTTTTCATCTATATGTAACAAGCATCATCAGACTAATTGACCTTTGCAGTTGTTAAAATTCCCTCTCTCTTTCTCTCTTGTCACCTCTCTTTTAACACATAGATGGCAATCATCTATTCCTAATAACTTTTCTGTTTGTTTTAACAACTGCAAAGATCAGTTACCTTGACAATACACATTAAACATGGATGAAAACATTTGCTTTCTTATAGTTTCTTCTTTTTGCTGGATATTGGTTACAAGTGCAGTGTTTATTAACAGTTTTGAGTAGTTGATTTTAAAATAAATTATCCAAAATATGTCTTTTTAAAAAGTATTTTAATATTTTTTAAACTACTGCTTATAATTCCATGCTTTGCTTGTTATATATAAACCGTTTAAAATACATTAAATTATATAAAAAATTTAATATTTTTTCAAATAATATAATGATACTAAAGTTCTAATAAAGCATAGTATTAATCATAAAATTGATATCCATAATTCAAATTCTATTATTATGCTTTTCAGTATCAAGTACTGTAATTAAATTATATCATAATTGAGTTTTCTTGTAATCAAGATTATTTTTTAATATTATTCTCTAATAATAAACTATAACATTGTGTAGGGAATGGTCACTAAATGTATTTATTGTAAACTTGTGTTCAATTTGGTGTATTAATATTAGTTATATAATTAGTTTTGTATTGTAAATTGAGAAACGGGAATGATTTCCATTTCGTATAAAAAAAACCACCCTCGAGAGGTGTTGTATGTCACGTACCACCATTTGATGGGTGAGGCTTGTAATTGGTTATTCGCTATTCAACAAAGTCACGTGTAGTTAAATTCCCAGATGGTGGGAGCTTTTAAATAGTGTGTATCATGCCTGGTCAGACAATTTTCCTTGGGATATTTGTTGGAATCAACGATCGAAATTATTGTCTAATGTTATACGACATCTTTATGTACTGTACAGCGCATTGTGTTGTGATGTTTTGTTAATGTTCTTCCGTTATGTAATAAAAGGTTAGTGGCACTGTTGACCCCTCGGGGAGTCATTAGAGACGATGACCTTGTTTCACTCTCCCCTTTCCAGCACTGACCTTCTGTGAGTCAATATTGTGTATTGTGTGTATTCTTTGTTATATAACCAGTTATGTGAGTCTAACTTGCTTTTACTAATCTCTCCGACAAGCAATATCTAGTCTAACAATATTCACCTGGACTGGACTCATAAGGACTGATTGAGTGAAAGAGAGAAGGTAAGGGTTATTCGCTCATAGCACGGAAGGCAAGCAGTGGACCAGTAAGGTCGAGCAGAAGGAATCCATCTCCATCGATGTAAGGACACTGCATATGCCCTATACAACAGGGGCACCACTTGGTAGAGAAGATATTTTTCCAACCATTATAGTTATTTTGTTTATGGAAACCCTTTCAACACGTGTTGATATACCTTGTTAGTGTTGTGAACCATCGTGAGATTGTGAATGTGTGAACGTGTTACACACACAGGAACATTGTCTGTAAATATCTTTGTATCCAATTAGGTTAAGTTTGTGTTTTTCCTTGTCTCCTCATATAATTTTTTTATATGTTTTTTGTTATTCTAACAAAATTCGTAATTTTTGTGTCATCACCTTGTTAAGTCCTCACTATTCCTACGCGATAAAAATGTCTAGATCGTTTCAACCATCCAAGACACTACAATTGTAATTTAAACAAATTCTGCAGATATTACAATTTAAATAGCTTATAAACTAATTATAGTTTTATTAATATAAATCTGAATGAATAGAAAAATTAATTACATGAAAAATGTAGTGTGCTATTACTATTTTTCAGTTTAGACTTAAAGTGAAATTATACCACAATGTTCATTATTCAATTTAAATAAAGAATGAAAAATGAACATTTTAATTTTTTATTTCCAAAATTTTAATCATCTGAAATATTAAATAAATCCTATGTAAATTTTGTTATAAATTTTTTATATTTACTTGATAATACGATTATTTTCAAATTCTTCTTGAAGAACACAGGAATGAAATTCACAGTTTTCTAGTCGTATCCACTCTTCTGTAACTACAGGAATTATATCATATCGTCCTACAACTTCTTTACCTTGTCTTGTAAGATCATTTAAACCTATTTCAACATCAGGCATACCTAGAAAAAAATTCGATTAAATAAGAATGAATAATGTTTAAAAAATTTTGAACAAAAATTACTATGGGGCTGTCCATAAATGACATCCACACTGGATAGGAGCGAGCGGGTTAAGACAAGTTGGACAAAGTCAGACAAGGGGAATTGAGCTTCAGTAGATGTTCATTTAATGTATTTTATTATATTTATTTCAAAATTTCTTGTATGTTTCATTTCTATCTATATTACCTATGATTCATAAAGTGATAAAAGTTTTAAGGGAGTTGAGTTTTGTTAGACATTTAAAGAGGGGAGAGGTTACAGAAACTTGGACAAACTGAGACAAGAGAGGGGGGAGTAAAATTTCAAAAAACAAAAAAATGCAGATGTAATTTATGGACAGCCCCTATCCAGAATAAGAAGCTTTTACACATATCAAAAAGTCGGTATTTAAAATTTCTATTAGGGTTTATACAAAAACCGACTTTTTAAAAAACCAGTTTTCAAATCTCAACTTTTCTATGAAACTGGTTTTAACCAGTTTTCGAATTTTCGCTCCCCCAAAAAATGGAAATAAGGAATGTTTACAACTTATTTTAAAACTTTATAATTTATTTAATAATTATAAAATTTCAAAAGTATAACAAAATAAAATTGACCAACATCTATAACAAAACAAAAAAGAAAAAAGGAAATGCTAGATTATTACATTAAACTATAAAATTTACTCCATAGAAAGCCATAAAGAAAAAGGAATAACAATGAATGCTTATAAAATATTATTTTATTTCTTATTTTTCCTAAGAAAATATGATTTTAGAATGCAAAGAACATCTATAGATCTATTGCTCAACCTTGTCCTTATTTTGCACACAAAATTGCCAGAAAACTCTCTCACTTGCTACTGAGCTGGGTTTAATCATTTTTAAAGCATTAAATAATAAATCTAAATTTTTCGTTCTGCTGTTTGTACCCTCTAATACTAAAATCTTTTTTAGTGTCTTAGGGCTGGATAAAGTCACTTCAGGTTCTTGGAGATATTTATGTATTGATTTTTTCATAGTATTTTTTAAAGCTATGGCTTGATTTTCTTCTTTGCCACTTTTTCATTATTGCAGTCATCTTCTATAGAATAATTTGGATATAATCTCAATAATATTTGTCCAGATAACTTAATGATATCAGATTTTGCAGCTAGTAGAAGAAATACGCTAGATGACTTTGTCCAAAAATTCTGTGGATTTTGTAAATAAAGGAGAAGTGTTACTAATCCAATTTGTCTTCTCTCTTGAATTTGTACCTTTACAGCATGTAACAACTTGGAACTAACTTCAAATTTTTCAATTCACATAACAGAAATTCAAATATGCCTTCACTTGTTAATAATAGGACAACAAGATGCAAACTTTGTCATCCTAAGGCAACATATGGTCCTTAAACTTTAAGGAGCTCTACAATTTTACAATACGCTGCTTTGTTCCACATGTGAGAAGCACCGATGTCATTCAAAGCTAAAACAATGCATTTTTTTAAGTGTACAAATCTTTCTATCGTTTTTCCGTTTTTGAACGATTTCTCCCTATTGTAGGGAGAATTGGATGCTAGAATTGGTGTAGGGGGAATTTTTTTGTTTTTCTAGTTGATTTTATGAAACTTAATATTTACAATATTCCTGTTTTATGTCACAATTTTGTGTCAAAACGTTGATGTTTTTAATCAAATATGTTTAAGTCTAGACTCAAAAACTGGTTTTTTAGTTGGGAAACCCCGGTTTTCAAATTATATAAATTTCTTCAAAAAACCAGTTTTTCAAAACTGAGTTTTAAAAATTGACAAACCCTAATTTCTATCTTTACTCTAGTATTGCATTAAGAAACTTTATTCAGAAAAGTAAAAACAATTTAATATATCTAACTACTAAAATTCTTTTTTGTTGTTTAAAAGTATTATGGTCAGAACATTAAGAATTCAGAATAGTTCTGAAGCCAGTAATTTTATCTTGTATAAATAATTACAACTTACTTTTTTCTATACATTTTTAAAAATTGTCACAATATCCCATCCAAACAAAAGTTGGATGGGATGTTTAATACTGATGTAATTTATAACTATGATAATAAATTCTAAAGTATTAAGATAGATTCGTGCTGGAATTGTTCATGTTCAGTCTGTTTTGCCTGTCTTGAACAGTCATTACCATAGGATTC